TCCTCATTGTTGGCGTGCTGTATTGCATTTGCGAGGTTCACATATTCACCTTTATTCTTCTTCCTTACTCGTCATTGCTGCCAAATTCCACTGAACAGGTATGGCATGACAAGTTCCTTCAAATGATCATCCACTCAAAGGCTACATGAATTTTGATATTCGTTTAAACAACGTGAATCGTCCTAAAATTCACTTAGTCCACTTCCAGAGAGCTAATATCTCCACTAAATTACTACTGTAGTTAGTTTTCTTGAAAATTAACTGTCAAGGATGCTTGCATGGGGATTATATTACCGCCAGTCGATACAGACGACAGTAACCTAATTTGCCTTCAAAGACATCTTTCTCCGTTCAAATTATTTCTGAATGTTGTTCATCTTTATTGGCCATTTTTATAAGGTGACCGTTGTACAATTAATTTCTGTTTCATCAAGTGTATCGTAGTCCAGTTAAAATCGCCAGAGGACTTTGCCGGAGCACTGATCTCCTGCTTAGTGTTATATATGATGATTTTGTTCACAGACAGTATGCCATTTGTCCCATCACTTTTGAAATAGTGATTGTGAAGGTGGAAATGAGGCGATATTCAGAGGATTGGCTTGCTGCTGGAGTTCTGTGCAGGCTGTGAGAAGTAGAAGAGTAACGACCAAATAAAAGACTGCACTAAACGAATTGGTAAGACGATAATTGCAAAGTCATCGTTCTTCTAATGGAATGTAAATGACTTCCTCTACCTCTACTGAAGCTCGCCTGTTTCAATGTGAGAGGATTACGTCTCGTTGTCAACTATGATAATCTCACCTTCAGATAAAAGGATGTAGTTGGTTCCTATAACAATCATGACGTCATATGCTTATAGTATCCAACGAAAGTTGTCTGTCGTCCGGAGCAATTTATTTCTGACCTATCCGGAATCTCCATTTATTGTGCTGTTTTGCTTTGTTTACCTTATTCCCGCGCTTAAATTTTGACTAATGAAATTGCAGTACGATTTTCAAGTGTGTAAAAATCCTTAGAACAACAAACAATATGTTTGTGTTCATCAGCTAGTAAGAGGTAAGTAGAAAAGGTCATGACAGCAGACAGCAGTATTATGTTGAAGTAGAGAATGAAGGCGAAGGATCATTAGATAAGGTGCGAAGGCCTCTGATGAGTTGGGAATATGCGAACAAGCGGAGCTCGCGCTGTGGATAAAGATACCGTGCAGTAATACATCCATAGTCGCTGCTACTTCGACGCCACTCCTAGCGAACAAAGCCTCCTATGCCTCTGGGAACAGCGCATTATGGAAAGCTCTCTCTAAAACCTTCTTGTGATTTAAAAAAGGCAGCTACCATCTATCTAGTGAAGAAATGAAGATCAGAATTATGCCAGGTTTCTAGGGAGAATTGTTTATTAGTATCCAACGACAACATGAAGAGGGCAAAGTGCAGTAGCCGAACGGATTTGTAAAAGTTAAAGACCTTTGCGGAACATGTAGATGTGGCTGCGAGCAAATGAGACGAATGAATAAAAGTAGTGCTGGGACTGACACAATACATCACCTGTATCACCTGTAGTCCCGTTGATCGTCAAGTGACTCGAGCGGGCGCCAGTAAACCTTCCATTTTCTCCTGTCGCGTGCAAGTGTAGCCCAGTGGGTTCTGCTCGCTCTAGGGACTCGTTGAGCATCATGTCTTTCTTCCAGGCTTTTCGTGAAGAACTCTGACCATCGAATCGGTGGTCTTCCTGCAGTGCGTTTGACATCCCGAGGAATTCACTCACTAACGGCTCTTGTGCATCGGATGTCATTCATACGCATTACCTGCCCGGCCCGCCCTACCTTCGATTCCTTGGCGTGCAGAACAACATCTTTGATTTTTGATCGTTGACGCAGATCGGAGCTTCGGATCCCATCCCTTACTTGTGTGGAACGGGACACTTCTAGCATAGTCCTTTCGACTGCGTGTTCGATAACGCTGAATGACCTTTCATTCTGCTTACGCAGCGACCAGGTTTCTGACGCATACGTTAGGGCAGGAAGTACCGCTGAGTCGAAAAGGTGGGCATGGAGTCAGGTGTTCTTTGTTCTCTTCACTACATCCTCGATGCTCTTGAAAGCTCCCCAAGCCGCTCGTTTCTTTCTGCTCAGCTCTGGAGCCAGGTCATTCATCATATTGATTTCCCGACCTAGATAGATATAACTGGAGCATTCAGAGATATTCGTTCCGTTGGGCATGCGAAACCATTCCGTTCTTCATGAACATTGTTTTTGTGAAATTTAGTCGAAGACCAATCTTTCCACAGGCTTTATCAACGTCGGCAAGCATACGTTCCCCTTGGCTAATGTTTGGTGTTATAAGGACGATGTCATCAGCAAAGCGAAGATGGTGTAACTGCCGCCTTTCGATTTTCACTCCCATATTATCCCATTCCAATGTTCGCATGACTTTCTGGAGGGTGGGAGTAAATAATTTTGGCGAGATGGTGTCGCCTTTCCTAACTCCTCTACTGACGTCAATGCTAATATCGTTGTAGAATGGTGATACCTTGGTTGTGAAATTTTTGCAACAGCTCACGATAAATCTTTATGTACTGAATAGGGACTCCTTGACTATCAAGGTCTTCCAAGACTGCTTCTATCTCAACTGGATCAAAGGCCTTCTGTAAATCGATGAAAGTGAAACAGAGCGGTCTTTTGTACTCTTGTGATATTTCAATGAGCCTTGTTATCGTGTGGATGTGGACCAACGGACTAAATCCTTTTCGAAACCCTGCTTGCTCACATGACTGTCCTTCGTCTAATGTTCTGTCAATCCTGTTTAGGATGACACTAGTGAAAAGTTTGAGACGACAGACAGTAAGCAGATTGGGCGATAGTTGCCGATATCGTGTAGGTCACCTTTCTTGAACATTAACAGGGTCTTGCTTGCCTTCCACTGAGTAGGGACCTTGCATTCAGACAGATAACGCGTGAAGAGCCGAGCCAGTGTGTTTACGAGGACTGGCGGAAGGTTCTTCAGGTGTTCTGGTCTTATCCTATCTGGACCTAGTGCTGTTCGATTTTTCACCGACTAAATGGCTTATCGGATTTCGGAAGGGTGATCCGATGGTACAACATGTCCATCCTCCTTTATTTCATGTGACAGAAGGTGGACGCGGCCATCGAAGAGATCCGAGTAGTATTCGTGAATGATTTTCACCATTGCCTTTCTGGACGTTCTAAGTGTTCCGTTTGGACCCCAGAGTGCAATCATTTTGGACTTGTGATTGACGAAGCGGTGGGCTTTACGAATGCTTTTCCGAGTCTCTGCGGTTTCGACCATTACTGTTGCTCTTCTTTTTTTAAGATCATCTTTTATTGCCTGTCTGCATTGTTTCTCAAGTTCGAACGTTAGTTTGCGGTTGCCTGCAGCTCGTGCGATTCCACGCTGGCGTAGCATCTCGAGTGTTTCTGTAGACAAACGTCTCTTGGTGACTTTCAAACTCTCAGCTTTAATAGCGCTAACGTGAAGATGTTGAATGAGCCGATCGTACTCTTCGCTGATGTTGTCGACACCGGCATCTTCCCAACAAATTGAATAACTCCCAGTTTGTGGTGGTTCTAGGACTTCGGTTTCGTAATTAGCGGCTTTTCTCCTTTCAGCGAGAAATAGAATCTTGCACAAAGCAGACGATGGTCTGATCCCGTGTAGAATTTTGGGACAACGGCGACATCGGCTAGGCAAAACCTTCTATTTCCTATGATGTGGTCTATTTCGTTATGGTACTCTCCATTGGGAGACTCCCACGTCCTGCGCTGAAGGTGGGGCTTCTGGAATTTCGAGTTACCATCGATTTATCTTGGTCGCCATGATGAACTCGGACAGCCACTCACCCTGCTCGTTCCATTCTAATCCGTGGTTCCCAATGTGACGTTCTTCAGACGTTTTTCTTGGTCCAATCTTGGCGTTGAAACCTCGAATGATAACCTTGAAGAACGTGTGGTCTTCTCTGTAGGACTTTTCCAAGTCCATATGGAACGCTTCGACTTCTTCTTCGTCATAGTTTGATGTCGGCGCGTAAACGACGAAGATTGTCAAAGCCGGAATTGATTCACGTCTTTTTGATCTTAAACATCCGATTTGGGTTGTAAGTTGTTCGAATGAATTGATATTCATGCACAAGCTCGTGTTGACGAGAACGCTGACGCCGCCGACTCCTCTAGTGTCGCATGTTCTGAGGAACAGTTCTTCTCCGGTGTCATCGACGGCGTTGAATGGATGGCGTCGTCTCGTCTCGGCCAAGCCGATGGCGTCGTGCTTCATCCATCTTGCTTGCATGAGCAAGTCTTCTATCGTGGACTCGGATGCAAGTGTGCGTGCTTTTAGATAGAGATCGTCACCATAGTTCTTTGAAATCCAGATATTTTCCATTGGCCCTGAGATTTTAGCAGCCTCTCTCTACTCGTCCTGCCCAGTGCTTAGAAATTGAGGGCTCATTCGGGGTCAGGGGAATGAGGGCATTTTTTTTACTGTGTTTAGCATTTTTGATACCCACGTATAGTTTGCTGTGCTCTGAACGTGGGGGCTGGGTATACTCACGGGTAGCTTGCCAGGCTCTTCCAGAGTGGGCACGGAGCTTATTTGTTGGAGGCGACTCCTAGTCGCCTACCATATACTTTCCAGTCACTTGATTGCAGGCTTTCGGCCCAATTGACTCATAGAATACAATCCGCATAAGCAAGAACGCACCCACACACACGCATGCACGAATACGCCTAGCAAATACAGAAAGTATGTGCCAAATCAGGGCAGCAGAAACAGGGAGTCCATCCCCTGGATCCACCTGCGTCTCAGGGAAGCGAAGGTCGCTTTGGGTCCGCGATTAACCTCCTATCCGTCACCTGGGGACGCTCCACGTAGCCTCGCGACTAACCGACTCGAGATCGGTCAGATGAGGGAGATCCGGGTGACACAGTACATATGAGTTTGAAAAGTATAAATGAAAAGGATAGGTGAACCAGGAAAGCAGATGAGCGTATGACGGAAATAGTTGCGCTGATGCTTCAAAAAGGGGTGTGTCATCAGAAGTTTTGCCCTTCTCGTGCAACTACTGTTGCCTGTCTACGTGTAGTTTCAAATCACATGACATTTATTGTGAGCTCTGAACTTGATAAAACTGTAAAGATCCTTGGTTTCACAGATAATTCTCATGTTGTATGCAAATATTCCATAGTCCGTCGTCGATGTCGTCGTGGGCAAAGAAGTTTGTTCACCTCTCAGTTGTTGTCGTATCATTTTCCGTTGGAGACGACAAGACTATTTGACTGTTTAAGACGCTGCCTTTTGAGTAGAAGTTTTCATAAGCATGCTACTCTACTTTGGAGCACGAAACCTTTGGGAATTCAGTGAAAACAAAGTTGAATACTTAGTTACTAAATATTACACAGAACTTCCATTATGTCATCATTGAATTCTAGTTGCTGAACCATGCGATACCACACAACCCCGGAGGTTTGATGCAGATGGAACAACGTCTCGGTTGTACCTTCGACCACAACCTCTACGCCGCAAATAAACGACGCCTCAATCCGAGGGTACGTGACCAAATCAAATCTGCTCATACCCTCATCTGTATTTGATAAGAGTTCACTGAACAAGAGAAGACTTTATCAAACATTAGTATAGCGGTGTTGTGGAGATAGTTGTAGATGAGAGTAGCGATTTCGTTAGCAATGATCCATCTGCTTTCAGAACACGTGCGATCCCCAAATCGAGTCGTCGTTCATTCAGCACTTCTTACTCATCGCACTGCTCGTCCTCCGCTTGCTTCCGATCGTTTTTGGCGTTCTGTTGTTAGCGAAACGCACACCGCTCAGCGAGTCCATCGCTGTGTTCGTCGAAAAGCTACGCCCTGCACATGAAAGGAACAGGTGAACGAAAGTTTAGAAAATTGCTGAGTAACGGAAACACGGAATGGTTAACAGTGGATGGTACCTCTGCCATCATCAGTCATTGATTTCAGTGCATGAGAGATCTAGATTCCTTTTTAAACACGAAGAAACGTATTTGCCGGCATTAATGAGAGTCTACGGAGATTTCTTGGAAGTGACCCTCAAAACGTCACACAAAAATAAGCTAGACTACTCTGGTAGTTCTGTTTGAAGTAAATAACAGTATGATGGTAATTTTATTGGGAAGTAACGCTTACTAGTTTCCTTGAGAAGATCTTAAATAAGATCGAAACATGCTATTACAGTTGGATTATAATTCACTGTTTTCTTAATGAACAAGTACGAGGTTGTTATTATATCATTTATTCACTCTCAATAGCTGACATTTCGGCGGTTTCGACTTTTTCAGAACCTGAAAGGTGACGTGAAATTCACCCAACCGTATGCATTCATAACCTCGGTAGATAAGGTGACATATAAGGCTAGTGCATAACTTTCCATTCGCATGAAAACAGTTTTTTTTAGACGCTCATTAATTTGTTTTCTGTAAGCGTTGCAGTTATTATATATTGTAGAGAATAGCCTTACAGGGTTAGGAATATGCCTGGCTCAACTCAAATCATGCAATCACCAACTGCCGTCAGGGTATATTATGCAATTTTATGATGTGCATAGACCGTCATATAGGCGGCTACGAACTAGCTGGTATTTTAGAATGCTCGGTGGTATTTCAATTATTGTTACCGAATTCTCTAGATCGACTCATCTTAAGCGACGTTTTGTAGCCGCAGCTGTTTCGTTTCGGGTGAAGGACAGGATAAACGGGACATTCTTATTGCTCCAGTTATCGTTTGAAGGCTTGGATTTTCCTCTACACCTATCCCGAGGAACTACAGTTTTGTAACCATTGTAAGTGGGTATTTGTCGTAACACTTCCAGGGAGCCGTCATTCTCCTCTCTTCCGGCGCTGCGAACTGATGACCATTGGAAACATGTTTCTCAGATGCGCCTTTTTTGTGTGAAGCTGTGAGGAGAGGTAGTGAACCAGTATGTTTTTCCTACTTAAGTTTCGCTATCATTTCGTAATGCTGCCGTTTTTGGATAGGTTAATTTGAACCTTCAGAAATGGAAGCCAGTTTTCTTCCAGTTTCTCTCGGTTGATTTTTATCCACTTTGAAATATTCATTCAGTAACTCAAAAGATTTGTTGATTTCCTCATATATGGGGCAGATGACGAAACAATCATTTATATATCTACAGTAGAGTGATGGCCCGAGATCGGTTACTCGTGCTTCCAGACATAACTGCATTGACAAGACTTGGTGCTGGTCGCTGTCCCTCTGCCGACTTTCCAGTTTGTGCATATTATTTTCCGGACCATCTAAAGAATGAGCAGTTTAGGCGTTCCTTTAGGAAGACCATCAGATGCTGAATAGAAAAACCATATATGTTTATTACCCACTCATGTTGCACAAGGAGGCGAGAATTGCTTACATAACGGAGTCATTCGACACATTTGTATAAAAGGAGGTAACGTCGAGGAACTCCACTACATCACGTACGTGCTCTCAGGACGCACGTTACATAGAAGATCCAGAAACATTTGCATATTCATTAGTAGCAAGAATTGGTGGAAAAATGTTTTGAGTTATTGAACGAACAGTCAGAGCAGATTATATTTACCAGAGAGACACCGAAAGAAAACCGGCTTCCATTGCTGAACGTTCAAATTAACCTATCCTGAAACGGCTATATCACCAAATGCTACCGGAAGCCAAATAACAAGAACATATTGGTTTATTAGCTCTCCTCTCACTTTACACACACAAAAAAGCACCTGCGAGAAATATTTTTCGAGCAACCACCGGCGTGTGTACAGCAAGAGAGCAGAAGGAGGAATCGTTGAATTCAGTGCGACAAATAGCCATTTCGAAGGATTACGAAATTGCAGTTTCTCGGCATAGGTGTAGAGGAAAAATCTATGCTCCGCAAAATAATTCCAGCGAGAATGAAGTCCCGTTTTTCCTGTCCTTTGTGTCCAACGAAATAAGCGCAGGTATAAAATTCTATATTTATTTATACGATCTTGTAAACTGATCTTTTTGAGGTGATACGAGGTTGGTTTAGGCCTTCGTTGTCGTTGTTGTTGTTGTTGTCGTTGATGTTGGTGTTGCTCGTCGATGGCTGACGTTTCGGCGGTTTTACCTTTCTCAGAGCCATAAATAGTTGGTATATCGAGTGGGTGCCACTCGTAACAGCCCGGCTCTTAGGAAAGCGAAATGGCCGAATCGTCTGCCATCAACGATCAACGCCAACATCAGCGACAACAACAACAACAACAACAACAGCAACAAGAGCGACAACGAAGACCTGTGCCAACCTCGCATCGGCTCAAAAAGATCAGTTTATAAGATCGTATAGACAAATATACCAGCTATTTATCCGAGGTTTATAGAAAATCGGTCTTTTGAGTTTATAAAATTTTACCTAAGAAAGCCGCGTCTAGAGAATTCGGCAGCAATGGCAGAAATACTACCGAGCACTCTAAGATCAGCTAGTTCATAACCGTCTGTATGATCGTCTATGTAGAACGGAAAATTGTGTAGTATGGTCGAACGGTAGAGACGGTTATTGCATGAGTTCGGGTACGATGTACCTCATCTGTTGTAAAGTACGTGAGCACGAATACGTTTGAGAAGCGCGGTAGACCACTCTGCGTCCATACAAAAGAACATCTCGTCGGTAAGTTGAAATTGAAACCAAACACACCACTAGACACGCATGGAATACAAGACCGTAACAGAGACAATTTTGAAATAAAGGTCACTATCCTCTCACAGGCATCCAGAACATAAGCGCGTAAAACTATTGAGGCGTTTTGAAAACATTCCAAGAATCCGAAAACGAACAGCAGGGAGGAGTGCGTCGTGATCATGAGGTGGCGCCATATCAAACTGATTTCAAGACTTGAGCCAGACTAATCACCCTGTGGGGCTGGCGTCCACCAAATAACTGGGACACTTAGAAGGAACAAAACGGTGAGTGTCTAAAAGAGGCTCTCCTTAATGCGAATGAATATTCATGTGTTAAGTTCTGTCTTCTGAGGTTACGAAAGTGTTTGGTTGAATGGATTGAGTGTCATTTCGACTTATCCACGCTCTGACGAAGGCGAAACCGCCGAAACGTTAGCTGTTAGGAATGAATGAATGCTTTAATAACAAGCTTACGTTTACTCATTAAGAAAAGAGTGAATGAAAACGTGATCAATGCCGCGGTTAAAAGAAAGTCAGTCTTGGAGGTTGCATTATATTTCTGCAAAACTGAATTTTCTAAGAGAATGTGTTAGTGGTATATTCATAAGCCTTGTCACTCTTTTGATTCTTACCACTAAAACTGTGCAAATCTATATGAGAGAAATAATCTGCCCTCAGACCCGCTTTAAAACGTATAAATCCCAGCCAGTACTTTCTTTTAGCTGAAGTCAACAATCGCATCTGACATCCTATCGTGACTGTAAGCTGTTTATTAAGAATATTCATCGACAGAATAAATCCCATCCTTTACCCTTGCCATCGAAATTCTATCGAACATTTTATAGACTATATTTGAAGAAGGAGAACCTGAATTCACAGAACATCGAGAAGAAAACTTCACAATTGATGCAGCCTCCACGGTTAGTTGCTTGTCATTTCTTCCGTGAATCTGATTTAGTTAGTCCTTGACTGATTAGTAGGAACATTTAGCGCCGGTGGAACTCCTTTGCCTCCAATACCGTCACCCACACAAATCGATCACAGTATTAGGTAAATATGGTGCTGTATGGCTACGCATGTGCTTTCTTGTTATTCTGCTACAATACTAGAGTTCTGGTAATTAAAAGTCATAGTAGAATGATATGTCCCATCAGATAAATGTTGTAGTCTTGGCAAAATTACTAGGACTTGAACTTATGCAAGTGCCCTTGCAAGTTCAAATGATAATAAAACAATACAAACTTCCTCTTCGCACTTATATAACCATAAAGGGGCTATGTAGCTTGATTCGCTAATCAATATGTATGGTTTGCACAATCACCGTATCCTAGAGTTCGTACTGTGGGTGTGGAGAGCACACAGTGCTGAGCGGTGCATTAGTAACGCTTTTCTGCTTGCTATGCCAATGCTTGTAACCTATTCTGATATTCACAAGTTAAATTATTGTATTCCACTTCAGTTATAATAACGCAGCATATTTTTCGACGTGTGGAGCGATTGGGGTGGATTCATCAAGAAGTAGTGATATATCACGAGTAGATGCTGGCGATTTGTATAGGTAAGCAGGGTTATAAACGTTGTAAAGTGCAAGAAAACCGGCTAGCCAGAGTCCGGTAGCTAATTCCGACTTTGATCAATCTCTAATTGGTGCGCTATGCGTTCGACTTCGTCAAGCTTCGTAAGGGATTTTGTAAACATAGCAAGTCTTTTCAAAGAATTGCGGTGGCCTACCGATGTGTAAAGTCAGCGTGTATCTTTTATCGTCTCAGGTAAGTATGGTGCTGATTTGTCGACACTAGAGGGAAGAGGGATCAGTGAGTCCGTGGCGCGGAGACGAACCAGAGCTCCATGCAGTGTGTATTACGAAGCACCTCCAATCTCTGCCCTACACGCGCCTCAGTCCGGTATTTGAAGCACATAGTTACTGATCATCCTTGTGCCAAGTATAGACATGAACTTCTGATTGAAAATGTCGTGTTTTTATTTTTTTTTTACTCTATTTTATTTAATCCCTCTTCACGTCTTCTGTGCGGATCCGAGCACTTCTCACATCCAGTTCGTTTCCTCGCATCCATCGTCCACTAAGATCTTCCAAGTTTTTACGTGTGGCTTCGATTTCTGCCTGAGGATTTTCATTTCATCTTGAGTGTCTTAGAATGCTGGTCGAGCAATTCTTCCTGGAATTCTGAGATAGCCGGGCTGGAGCGTTCCCAATTGGATTGCAGAGATC